AGCAGGGACCAATCCAGCAGGGGGAGGGTCAAGTAGCCCCCAAACCTGCAGGAAGATCAACAGCACAGAGAGTGAGAGCTAAGCAGCACTCAGGATGGGCGATCGGGGCCTGAGCCTGCTGTTCATAACACACCAGACAGATCTGAGAAGTCAGTGATCTGAGCACACAAGGCGGGTCACGTCAGTTTCTCCATCCGTAATGAGCCTGGAACTCTTTCCAATACACCCTGACAATGTGTGCAAGTTTTCTCCATCACTGAAATAGGTTTGGGTTGGATCTTTAAAACACTGGCCTATATAACTGTTGAGCAATGAATGAGTTTCTATGGCAAGGCCAAAATATTGACATACTTATGAATTCCCTTCATTGGCCAAAGGGGAGTGCCCCCCAAACACACACTGACGTGGGGAGAAGTTGCGGTGCCAGTCACTACAAACACCACTGTTAGGGTACAATTAAGGTTAAAAACTAAGCCTCCACTCCTGACCCAGCAGGCAGGTTTGGGAGGTTGGAATAGATAGGGCTGCCATAGGGACAGGCCATAAAACCAACCACCAGGACCAAATGAACCAGTCCAGCTCCAGGAATGCAGAGGCAGAGGCCAAAACATGCTTCTGTGTCAAAGGCCAGTACCAGAGACCAGACATCCCAGCAGATAACTGGTATAAACTGGCACCCACAAAAAACAGTATAAAAGGGAGCCTCAAATCCTCCTGTGCACACAGACTTCTCTTGTCTCTGTCTCACCCACTACATCTCTTAGCAGTATATTTCCATAAATCCACCTGTTCTGTTCTCCACTCTGTCTCTGGTGAATCCTCTCACCCCTGAGCCTCCAGCTTCACCCTGACCTTCTTCCCCCAACAAACAAACCACTCCAGTACCAGTCAAGGCAGGCCCTGAGAGGAATGAACAACCAAGTCTTCTCCAGCAAAGAGGGACTGTCGAGTGGCCAAGAGGACCCCTGAGCACTTCCGCGTGCCCATTACCATGATGCAGGGTCACGCTTCCTAGGGCCCCCGTGGAGAGTTAGCCACCCATGTCCTGTCCTCATTCCACACTGCTCCTGTCGGGCTTGAAAGGGTTAAAAATACAACGTGAAAAGAGAGCACAGCCTTTCAGAGACTATTTCAAGTTCCTCTGCCTGATGGCTGGCCAGAGTGAAGCCCCTTTGGATAACCACTACTTTCATTTGCTCTAAGACTATACAGTCATTAATACCTGTAATTCATTCTAACTAATCAAAATTCATTCATACTAGTTAATTCAACAGCTAATCAGAATTTAAAAGGGGGCTATTGCCCTTCAAGCCAGCTCATTTAGTAGCTATTGAAATCCTTATACAAGACTTAGGTGAAAAGGGAGACCTGAATCTGTTTAAACTTCTAAGTGGTTCCCTCAATACCCTTCGTTCCCTCAAATCCCTCAGCTCAGTAGGCTAATCTCATTGGATTAGCTGCATTAACATTTCCAGCATCCTCTCCCCTTCCACAAGGCCCCCCACCAGCAAGCTAGGTCAGGGACACAAACATTCTGTCAAACAGGCAGTTATCAGCTGTGATCTTGGTGCTCACACTCCCTGCAGAGGCTGCCCCACGGACCAGCAGGTGGTTACGAGCACCACCATCCACTCTCACAGGGCAGTCTGACAGCCAACCCGAACACAGCTTTAAAAACGGGCATTTCCACAAACACAGGTGCAGCCCTGTGCAAGGCATTCGCTACATTTCTACCCTACCCGGGATCATCTCTTTTTGAGTCTCTCCAGGACCCTAAAACGTAGCCTACCTTTGCTTTGTACTTCAGCAGAGACTGCACCCGAGTTGGTGGGCTCCTTCCCTGCCCCACACTGCCACTCAGTTTTGTACACGTAAGCTTTCCTATCAACACACATCTCTTGTCACCCTCTTCTCTAATAAACCAGCAACTCTCTCAAACCCAGCTCATCACAGAAACACCACACAAAGTAAGATGTAAAAGTCTCCCTTTGGTGTGAAAATTAGCAACCCAAATACAGGCCACCCAAAGGAGCTTTAAAGACCTTCAGAAATAAAGAAAGATGCAGTGTGGGTAATCTGATATATGTCTCACTGAGCCAAGGGAGTGCCAACAGGAGGTGACACACAAAGTGCCGGAGTCAGACCATGGAGTATTTTTTTTTTAATTTAAATTTTATTTTTATATTCCCCATACAATTACAACCCCCTTATTTTGACCCCAGTCCCTCATTTCCCCACCACCCATAGAGTGTCTCTGGTTCATAGTTGTTTGTTGATTTTGGTATTTTCTTTCTTATAGTTTTTCTTTTTCCTGGTCCCTTATTTAAGTTTTCTAGATTCCTGCTATGAGTGAGACCATCCGGTATTTTTCTTTTTCTTTCTGGCTTATTTCGCTGAGCATGATCCCTTCCAGCTCCATCCATGTTGCTGCAAATTTCATGTGTTTATCTTTTTTGAATGCTGAGTAATATTCCATGGTGTATATGGACCACATCTTCTTGATCCACTCATCTATTTTTGGGCATTTGGGTTGTTTCCAAAGCTTAGCTATTGTAAATTGTGCTGCTATAAACATAGGGGTGCAGGTGCTCTTTGGAATTGATGTTTCTGTGTCCTTTGGGTAAATACCTAGGAGTGGAATTGCTGGATCATATGGAAGCTCTATGTTTAGTAGGTCCAGAAATCTCCACACAGCTCTGACCATGGCGTATTTTTGAGAGCAAAGACCAAGTGGGTCCACCTCATTTCGCAATTATCAGTGGCCAGTCCTTAAGTGTCAGCCACTGGGTCCTCTCTAAAAACCCTAGATCTGCCCCCATGCTAGGGTGGCAGAGTGGTCAGATGCCCGCACAACTTGTGAAAGGCCAATATTCCGGGAATTATAATCCAATCTGCATCTCCCAGTGTTTCTGGGGACTTCAGATGAATTTTCAGAGAATGTGCTCAGTGGATGAGCATGAATAGGGAAGAGCCCATTGCCCTGTCCGTTTCCTAGACAATGAGCCATCGAGTCGTGTTTCCAGAGGACGGTGACTCCTTGAACTGCAAGCCAGGAGGGAGCCGGAGAACACCAGCCCCACACCAGGGCTCAGTCTGGGGGCTGGCCCTTAATAGTGTGTGACCTCAGACAGGTTGTTAAAATTCTCTAGGCCTCAGTTTCCTCATCTGGAAAATGGGAATGATCATAAGATTACACAACCCATAAGTGAATTAATCATGTATGGAAGAGGCAGCAAAGCTGGCGTAGAGGGGGTCTGCAATGGGGAAAACAGACCGGAGATCCTGAGTAACTCAGTGCCTGGCCCAGAGCAGTCAAGCGGTGGTACAGGGAAGACAGGACCCTGGTTACTTGGGGATAGCGCTACTTGGAGACAAAATTGGGAACAATTCAATTCTGAAATAAATGTCTTCCAGCTGCTTTTTCCATTAAGCAGAATCACCCTCCTTCCACTTAGCCCTGGTGACGTGAATTTATCACTGCCAGCTCCTAGATAAGAACAGAACAACACACTAACCAGAGTCTACAAGTTCATGAACCACAGTAACGTGGGCATCTAAGCTAGGAGATGTAGGGGTAACAGGTCATCAGCCGGGGTGGCTTCTTCAAGCTGCTTCCCATCAGGTCGCCAGAGGTAGTGGGCAAGATATGGAGGAACATGCAGTGACCTGCCAGTGCTGAAGGTGGCACACCTTCCAAGAACTTAGTACTCTTCTCGAAGGAGTCACCTGCGCCACAAGACCTGCAGCCACAACAGGCCTGCAGCCACAACAGTGCCTATCACCACTCCCATTTTCCAGATGAGGGAACCAGAATTCAGACCTGGCTAAGACCACACCCCCAAAATCAGAGCAAGCGCAGTGCCAGCTGGGGATCTCCTAACACTGAGTCTGGTGCAGCACCAGGGCTCTGAGGATGCCATCAGATTCCTATCTCCTGGGCCCAGGCAACCCCATCCAATATCTCCAAGACATCAGCCCTGAGTGCACCAGAGATAAGCAGGCCCACGAAGAGAACACAGACTGGTTTTCTTAATCACTTTGTTCTTTCCTCCATTACATGCAAAACTGAACTTCACATGCCTGCATGTGTCCCACCACAATCCCAGTACAGAATGGTGTGACCTCACCTCTAGATTGAGATGGGACTATATCAATTCCTAGCAAGTATATGAAGGGAAAGAGACCGTGGTTTTAAGGGGCAAAAATAAGGGAATGAGATTTCAGTATTTCTGCAAAATAAAATTAACTCCAACTGTCATAAAAGTGTAACACCTGCGCATTGTTCAGAAACCACCACCACTCCATCAGCCCAACTGGAAGGAACACATGGGGTCTCACAGGCAACCATGGGCACATAGAGCAGTCAGAGGCGCAGACAGAAGTGGAGAATTTTGTTTCTACTATTAGAGGCAAGTTAAATGGTGATTTCAGTAGGGAAAAGATGGGACCGTGGTTCTGTACAAGTACTTCCACATCTAGTGAGAAGCTGTGTTGTGCATAAAACTGCCCGCTCGGCTCAGGATGGCAGTGCCAGATGGAACCACGTTCTGTAGAGAGTAAACCTCCCCGTCCCCATAGCAACTCCAGCCATGCCTCTAAAATGCTCAAGAAGGCACATATCAAATTGTTTTCCACAATTTTTCAGAAATTGACTTTTTATTCCACACCCTGAGGAAATCAAGTTCACTGGGAATTTTCTTGTTAAAGAAATAGTAACAGGTGATCATGGCAGGAAATACAGAAAAGAGGAAAAGGTAGTGTTTTTTAATCAACCTCAGTATTTCACCAGAGGACACATATTTTTAATGCCCTGATGCAGTTCCTTGCCATCTGTTTTCTGGTAGAGGTGTGCATACCAGTGTCACTGAGCCAGAGATCACCAACAGGGACAAGACTGGAGCTCAGCCCATGAGAAACCTAGCCAGGGTGGGTGGGCAGGACCGCAGATACGTGCTTTAGGTAGAAAGAAGAAGGAAAATCTGTAAAAGGAAGACCCTGACCTGTTCAACGTTGATGTCCCAACTGCAGGGAAGGTCAGTGGTGTAATGATAAATCACACACAGGCTGAAAACCAAAAGCAGAAATTGATGTATTACTCGCCACTATTTGGAATTCATCCTATTCTGATTTATCCCCCTTATTCTATTAGGTACTTAGTTTTCACAGTTGTAGATTTTATTTTTTCAAACATTTATTTATTTAGCATACAAGAACTGGGGTGTAAGCCAGAGGCATGGAGGGGGAGAGGATTCACCAGAAAGAGTAGGGAGCAGAACAGGCAGATCCACTGAAATACACTGCTGAGGGGAGCGGCAGGCGAGACAAGAGAAGTCTGCTAGTGCCATGTGGGTTGCTCCCTGGTCAGCAGGGGATCGAACTCACTGTGGTTGATGATAGTTTGATAGTGCTGTACTTAACCCCTGCGCCACCAGGAAGGCCCGAGCTTTGGATTTTAAATCCAGCACAACAAAATGATACTTAAGAAGACATACCTAACAGAATAAAAGGAGTCAGATAGCTGGAAGATGAAGGTATCCGTCAAACACTTAGTCTCCTGTGAAAGGGTGGGGGAAAATTCATAGACCATAATTTCCTCTACTTTCAACTCTTCCTAATCTTGAAAACAAAGAAAACTAACGGATTATAGAAAAGACTCCTTGTCTAAAGAGAAAAAGGTTTTATTACAATTAATAAATCTCATGACCCTTTATGGTAATTTGCTTGAAACATACACAATATCTCACTCATCCATAATTTACTTAGCCAACAAGTTAAACGGGATGGTGGGGGGAGGAAAGAAGAGGGATAGGGTTAAACTGAAAAACAATTGCTTCTCCTGCTTCCTGCTAGGTAGTTTACTTTAAAGTAGGCAAGTGAAAAAATGTAGGTAGCAGGGAAGGGGGCTCAGCATGACTATCACCTGAGACCATCCAGCCTTCTTCTCACCCTTCTGCTTCTGCAGCGGTAGTCCAGCCTTTCTTCAGGACTTGGTGTTTTCGCTGAGATCCACCCTGGCCACAAAGACAGAACCGAGCACCCACACTGGGCTCACCCAGGAGCGACAGGGGCAGACTGACCGTGCAGACCACCCCTGGCACACTGCCTTCATGTGGCCAAGTGGCTGCAGCCTGTGGCTGGCTGCTTGAACACCAAGAATGAAGACGGGGCCAGGGTGCCTTCTTTCTGTGGGTAAGAAGACCAGCACTTGCAGAATAGGCCAGGGCCTGCAGCAGGCCTTCAGAGAAGGCCTGCTGATACTGAAGTTTGCTGATACTGGCTTAAAGATACCCACTGGAGAGCAGAGGTGCCTAACAGATTTGAGTTCAGATTTCAGAGTCTAGGAGCCTGGGCAGGTCGACAACCTGAATGATGGACAAACTTGACGCTCAGGGGAGGAGGGAGGTGAGGGTCTGGAGAAGAACCACGATGGCCCTGCTTGGTGGAGCAGACGGTAAAGAGCACAGGGAAGGCTAACCAGAGGCAGAAGCTCTGGCACAGGAGCCTGGTTCCCACGGCCGCAATGGTGGGCTGAGCCTACACTGTGGGTGAGGAGGAGGGTCCCACTCAGGAGGTTACTACAGATGCCCAAAGAAGGGACACAATGAGCAGACAGGGTGGGGAGGGTGGTAAGTGAGCAGATATGGGGCAGATTTTGGAGGCAGAACTAACAGGACTATTGAGGGATTGAAGTGGATATAAAAATAAAAGAGGCATCAAGGAGGGCTCCAAGGCTCTTCACTGGGATGGAAAGGTGAAGGCAGATGGAAGAAATCTCAGGGACAGTGGGGGAGGCTAGCAAGGGGAATCAAAGGAATAGTGGGGAAGCAGGCATGGGAAACAAGTATGGGGGCAGGTAGTAGGGGTCAGGAGGTCGTTTGCTGATACTGGCTTAAAGATACCCACTGGAGAGCAGAGGTGCCTAACAGATTTGAGTTCAGATTTCAGAGTCTAGGAGCCTGGGCAGGTCGACAACAGGACGCACCAGACACAGCGACCAACCACAGAGTGGGATGAGGCAGATTGGGATGAGGCAGATGGAGCAGCACTGGGCTCTTGGGCCTGCGTGCCAAGGCAGCTGTCATACTCCTTGCTTGGCCCTGCTCAGCATCCCTGTCACCTCCAAGAGTAAGTCAGAGAGCGACCGACATCTCTCTTCTCCCCACAGCGAATAAGCCAATGCAGCAGCAGCTCACACTTGCCTACAGCAGGGCCAGGCGCAATCAATAAGGACAAGCCACATCCTGAGAACACAAGCACATCCTGTAGAAGGTCCTGCAGGGCAAGCTCCTCCCCATAGCATGGACCTCGATATCACAAGTACCCCACCTAACTCAAGGCGCAGCTCCAAAATGAGCCTTCCTTCTGCTGTCGTTATTCAGTCCTTATTGCTCACACTAACTAATGACCTACTGGAGAAAATTCAGGAAGCACTTCTTTTGCCACCTAAATACCTGAATGACTCTAATCCTTGTCGAGGGTGTCCAGACTAGGGAAGGCTGCAGACCCAGCCTCCTGTCTCCTGGTGGGCCTGGGAGGCAGGGGCAGGTTCCCGGTACTTGGACTAGGGCACTTCCATGTGTGGTTTCCCTGAGTAGGACTCAGAAGCAACAGTTCTGAGGCCTGTGGAGAAAAGAGTAGAAAGCTGCAAAGCGAGTGTGATGGTAGTGTGAACGCCTTCCACTTAGAATACCAGCAGGGACAAGAATACTCTGTGGCCACAGCAGAGGGGGAGAGGCAGAGTGACACACAGAGATAAACAGCTGAGGGCAGGAAGGGCACCCGGGGGAGAGGGGCAGGCTGAGGCGGACTGGATCTGCAGCCCATGGAATGGAAATGATTTTGCTTAAAGGACAGAGACAGAACTAAATTTAACTTGCATCCACAGCTGAACACACCGCTACCACCACAGAAGCCAAAAGCGCCTTGAGGAAAAGGAGCACAGACTGAGAACAGCGGTTCAACAGCAGGCAAAGAGAGGGCTACACCTGCTACCCATCAGCAACAAATGATACTTCAGCTCCATGTCCATTGCAGCTGCCCACACTCACACCTGAGCAACACCCCCCTCTGCACAGTGCACCCAGGAAGGGTCTTCAAGGCACGCCCTCTCATCTCCCTGAGTCAACCATTTGTACTTTTGAATTCTATTTTTAGTGCTTTACCCTAACCTCTCAAAATTATGTCAACTGAATGGCTGCCTAGTCAGCAAGCTGCAAAGTTTGGTCCCCATGAGCTTAATAAAACACCCCGCTCTATGGCTTGGACAACAATCAGGTATCTCTTTCTATTTAGGTTATACACATTTCAAATAAAACCCAATCTGAATTCCACATGCAGCTAATAACTACTTAAGAGGAAAAATAAGGAACAGATTCATTAATTATACTTGCATATACATTTCATTGATTATTTGTTCCTTAAAGTCAAGGAACATGAAATTAGATGTCTTCTGTGAGTGGTTTAGAAAGTTTCAAATGTTTTGCAAATAGAAGGCATGACTATTACCATGTGAAATAGATAACCTGGCATCCTGGTATAAACTGTATGAAACATAGAATTTAAGCATTTTGTGAAATGTAAATAAATATCAAGTATTAAATAACTGTGGTCAAGACAGTCTCCAGTGCAAAAATTAGGTATGAAAATAGATAGAAGGTAGGTTCTCCAATAGGCTTGTTTTCTTTACCATTTACCAGCTGGTTATTTTGATTTTCAGCAAAGACTGGAGGGAGCACCCCACAGCAGAACCAGACTTGCCCTGCATGAATGCAGGTCCCTGAAGCAATGTGAATTACAACCATAGTGATGGGCATTACTGTTTATCCAGCACTAAACATGACAGCACCTCCAACTCACATTCACAAACACAACTCCACTTCCCCACCTTTATTCATACCCTTCCAAGCAAGCCTTCCTCTTCCTGTCTTCTCCCAACTGTCATCCGGGCACGTGTCAACTGCCATTTCTTTTACAAAGTCTGTCCTGAACCTTCTTATCCTTCTGCTCATTCCCAGGACTCACCCTTTCCTCCCAAAACACAGGCACTTGGCTCCCTCCCACCTACTGCTCCCCACAAAGTATATTCTGGGAAGGCAGAAAAAGAATCAGCCTTTATCCCTGCAGCCCCTTTGCCATTCTCACAGACTCGTGCAGGCCCGGAAACTGTGCTCTACTCACAGTGCGGTTAAATAACATCAATTTCTTGGTAGTTACTTCTCTGAGTCAATAAAGTGGTCCTGTGAGCACTTCTTATTACCTAAAGAGAGGAGTCGAGTCCCTCCGCACAAGGACATCAGAATTCACCCTCCAGGTGCCCAAAGGCCTTGTGAACTCAGGAAAGGGAGTCTATGACAGTCAGGGCGGCAGTGTAGCTAAACGAGGTGCATGCATTTTGAGGTGATGTCACTTAAACATTAATAAACGATTTAGGATTTTCTTCTCCAACATACATCCTTAAATTTCAGGAGCAACACACAGCACCATCCACGAGGAAACCAACCCCCTCACCTCACCACGGCTCCCTCCCATCTCTGTTCTGAGCACACACTCTCAATGCTCACCAACCTGAACACAGTCCCCATTTTCGTGAGCACATACACAGATCATGTATATTTATAAATAACATACACATGCTATGGTAACAGTGCATTGCACACATTATACACAAAAGAAGTTGAAGGGAATAAAATAAAAGTAAGGTTAATGCTCTAGTGTCTGCCCTCCAGACCCCAGTGCACACAGCTCTCTGAAAGCCGCCAACAGAGAATTCCTTCTTGTCCAGAACTTTCTTTCACTGAGTCTTAGTCCAAAGTCAGCCTCTCTCTGAAGCCTCTCTTGATTAACCAAAGTAGATGGACATCTCCCTCCTGGCTCATCTGAGCCCTCGTCCTCCTTGTGCAGCCACCGCCCTTTGTGGAGATAGGGCCAATACTTGGATATCACAGTCTTCCAGAAAAATGCAGAGCAGAGAAAGAGGAAAGAGAGGAGAGGTGTGATGTCATCAAAGTTTGTTATCCCTTAGCCCTGTGGCCTCTCTCTCCATGTATAAAGTCTCTCTTAATGGCTTAGATGGTGCTCCCCAACTCTCAACCTCATTATAAACCACCTGCTAGTGCCTGCTGGCTGCTCCTGTACACAGTCTGTCTTCTCCTTGAGTTCCCAAGCCCCCCAAGGCCAGGAGCTGGGTCTCCACTGTTCTAGGCTGGGTAGGTGCTTCACAAATATACCTGTCTGACTTAATGACAGCTGACACTTACTGAGCACTCACTGGGGTAGCTGGACCTCTCCCAGCTGGTTTGCACTACCCATTACTTCATTGAATCCTCTTGAAAATCTAAGAGGTGAGCAAATAGTTGTGACCTTCCCAAGGTCACAGCCTCCCAGGACAGGAGCCCAGGAGAGACAGTTCAGAGCAGCAGATGTAAGCAACCTCCTGTGGCGAAATCTTCCCGGAAGCATCAGAAAGCTCATCTGCTTAGATCCTTCCATACACACTGTGGACAACAAGCTGCCATAGATTGGGCAGCTGCCACCCAGGCCCACGTTTTCACTCTGACATTGCTTCCTCGGGTGAGTCAAGTGGGGACAGCTGCTCCCAGGCAAATGCCAGCATGGGAGCCATTCCATATGGGCATATGAAAGTGCCCTGATTTTTAAGACACAATAGATAAGCCATGCTATATAGAAGCATGCACATTACAAAGTAATGTTCCAACTCCATTTATTGTCCAACTTCATTTAGTGGAAAATATACATGATTTTTCTTAACTGAAGAACCACATAATGTAGTTATGACTTGCATATATATACACACACATACACACACAGTGTGTGTGTCATTATTTTTACATTACTCTTCAGATAAAAAAAAAAAAAAACTTTTAATCCCAGGACCTCGAGATTAGAAGTAAAAGATTTCAAATCTCATACTTAACTACCAACAGGATGAAAGTGAAGTTCTAGAAAGGGTGCAGTATTTATCTTAATAGCCCAAGTAGCCGGAAAACAAATGTTCAACCAAACCATCCAACTGTAAACATGACCTCCACTCTTGAAATCATGCATGCATTATATCCAAAAAGGCCCTCTGTCCCTAGCAGGAAAATATTCTGGCATTCGTCAGTCTGTTGAGGGAACAAGCCAAATCCTGAGAGGTCAAATTAAACAAAAATCTGTCGGCCACACACATCAAGCAACAGCAAACACAGGGTGAAAGTACACAGGTGTATTTTTCAGGTACACAAGGTGCCCTGAGCAAATGTTCCAGCCACCTATTCAATAATAGGGCTAGCGGGCAACTCCCCTGAGGACCCGAGGATCCACCCCTACCCAATCTCTGCAAGGGATCCCCCCTCAGAGGTCACTCCCCAAGAGCACTGCCATATCCCTATTGGTCAGACCATGTGGGTGGTCAGCTCTGGCCCCACCCCACACCCATGGTCCCAGCACATTTCCTTTCCAAGGCGCATGCAGGTCTGTACCTGGACGGGACCGTGAACTTGAATGTCTGACCAGCAGGAGATGAGGCCTAGCAACAGCAGTTCAAGCAGAGGTCTCAGCGTCTGTGCCTGGAGTTCGAGGGCTCACTAACCTGAACACAGAGGACAGAACAGTCCCCACCTGCGCCCAAAGGTCCCTGAATACTGTTCACCAGACCTCAGCATGGACAGTGCACATTCACAACATGCACCCCACGGCATGGTAAGCACCCTACACTTGCTAAACAGGTGCTCAAAGGTGTGTGTGACTATAAGGAGCCATGACTACCCAGAGATGTGGGTGGCAACCAGGGCCCCTGGAACCAGCACTGTAAGTGGGTTCCCCTCGCTCTTCCGAAAGGCCTTGCTGTTTTGACTGAAAAGGCTACCTTTTGAGAAAAACAAACCAACTTGCCTTTAGTTCACTGCAGCCTACTAAAATGATTTTCCTTCCTCTCAAGCTTCAGGAGTCACAAGTTTACAAGACCAGACACTGCTAATATTCATATGCAACTCAGAAAGGTCTTAGGCCTGGGCCAGAAGCAGAAAACTCTGCCAAATTTGCAAGGAAGTAGGTGAGATACCATTGCAAAGTGCACCATTAGGTGTTGAGCATCCAACACGAAGTGAAACAAAATTTTATGTCAGCATCCCTAGGGTCATGGCTGGTGATTATGCAAAGCAGAGAGAAGTAAATGACTGAGGCAGCACACAGCTCTCCACGCAGATAGCTGCTGGGCCCACTGCCTCTCTGGGACCTCATTCCTCCACTGTGAGTCCAAGAGCATCCCATGGGTAGGGAATCGTGGTGGCGGGGAAACCCAGTGATAGTGCTTAGCCATACAATCCTTTCATTTCATTTAAAAATATTTTATTAGACTGTTTTGTGCCCTTAACCTACCTGAGTAGAATTTAATTCAAATTTAAATCAGCACAAAGGCTTTAAATCTTCCAGATGATATCATCCACTAACATCATTGGCTTTGCCCCGAACAAAAAGCCTAGAAACAGCAAAACTGTCTTTACCTATAATCCACATGATATAAACCCCAATTTTTGTAATTAAGAATGGTAAAGAAAATTTAAACATCTTACCATTTTATACCAAATTTGCGAAGACTTTTTTCATTTCATTCAGCATTGGCAAGACTGCAGTGACCCCAGATCTGTGAGGGAATAAAAGTGCCCCTTCCTTTCTAAAAAGTAATCCGGTAATACTTTTGGAGGAGCCTCTATAAGCTCTATGCATCAACTTCCCTTTGAGGAATCTATGCAAAGGATGCAATCGAATGTTCAATGTAGTATTTATTCACAAAGCCTCATATCTCAAAATATGTTTTGAAATAACCACAGGGTAGCAATTACAGTCTTCAGAACTGTAGATTTGGGAGAATATCTATTATTTAATATTGTGAGAATATTTTGATTACATGAAAAAATGTTCACAGTGGATGCTAAGTTTAAAAAAAAATGTAAATTCTGTACATTATTTTGTAATTAATCAATGTATACACCTAGAAAGAATCTATTAACACAGATCGGATCATTCTGAAGACAGTGGAACATAGGTAATTTTGAGCATTTTTATGTCCCTCTTTGTCTCTTTTCATTTCTTCCCCATAATCTTCATTCAATATATAATCAGGGGGGAAAAATGATTTCAGAGACTAACCTGTGACACTGACTTCAGCTGTGCCTGAAAGACTCTAGATTCAAAAGTCAGGTTCAAACAGAGGGGCAGAGTGCTGCACTAAGCAGTAGGACCGACCCCCACTTCTGTCCCTACTAGCCTGTCTCACTTTGGTCTCAGAGCTAGTGAAAGGCGTGAGCACTGCTCTAGGAGTCATGTCCTGGGAGCTAACAGCTGGGTGCCATCTGGAACCAGGCATGTAAAGACGAAGATGCTTAGTGCAATAGAGATGGGGAGGGCAGGACCCAGGCCTCATGGCCTCAGTCACACAGGGCATCTGTTCAACCTCATCCTGGCAAATAAGGGATGAAATGCAATGAAGGTCCAGAAACCCCTGCAATGTGCAGGCACCGCCATATTTATTCAGGGCACAGCACCAGTCAACCACCCTGGCTGAGCGCTCAGGTTCCCAGGAGTTCTATTCCAGCCTGCTGCCCCTGGAAGGTTTGCAAGAGCTGAAGAGCCACATCGCCAGGCCCAGTGAGATGTGTGTTTTCTGGTGACTCGCTTTATGTCCCATTGTGTCACTTGTTTTGTCAGAGAAGAATAGTATTTCTCAAGAAATACACATAGACTGTGTAGCTGATGCATCTATCCCCTGATCCAGCAAAATAGAGACTCTTTAAGATAATGTTGTTGTTGTTTTCAAATGTGAGCATGAAATAGAAACAAAAATGGCAGCACTTCCCATAGAGGGATGGGCAGGATCCTTTGAGGTAAAAAGACAAGTGAGGAGGGCCCCATCCATCTCCTCCACAAGCCTCTGTTCATCACCCAGAAAACAGAGAAGACTAACAGGTGGTTTTCAAGTACTCGTAGACAACACAGGGACTCACAATGATTTTTTACTTTCCCTTTCTCTCAAGAAACTTGAGGCTCAACGTGGACAAAACAAAGCCATCGCTGGCCTAATTTTCAAAACCAAGGCTCTTGCAACAGGCAAGACAAACACAAGACACACACAAAGAGCAGAGGTTAGAAATAAGAATGGGGACTGGGGAGGGGGGATGATTCAGAGTCACAGAAAAGGTGGGAGGGAAGAAGCTCTGGAGCTTGTGAGCTGAACAAAGTTATTGAGACCTGCAGGGGAGACAAGAAGAGAAAGACTTTTTCTCCACTCGGCTTCTTGGTAAGTGATTCCTAATGAACTTTATGACCTGTACTTTGCCTTGTACAGCTCTGAGTCAAAGCCCAGACCACAGAAGCCAGAGGCTGTGGGTGGCACCCCACTCCACCCTTTATTTACCAGAGGTATGATGTGTGAGAAGCTGGGGGCTTCTGCTAGCCCACCTGCAGACAGGGAATGACAGCAATACCTGCCCCAGGGCCGCGGTGAGGATTACGTTAGTTACTCTCCTGTAGCACTAAGAAAAGCCCAGACATGGTGCCACACCAGTGTCTGGAAACTGCTGCTACAGTCTCTGAGCAAGAGTCCTGGTGAAAGGAGCCTAGCCAGAAGTCCAAGAGTCCTTCCCAACACAGAAAGCAGCCAGCCTCCTCTTGTGGGCTCCCCAACTCCTGCTTTCCAAACAGTAAGGAAATTCCCTCCCCAATTCTGGCATAAAGTTTGCTGGCCCCTGGGGCCACAGACCAAACAGTGCCAGTTTCTGCTACCACCAGTCTCCAGGGGCCCATTCCATTCTGAAGCCAGCCATTCTGCAGACCTCCAGCAGGGAATCCACGAACCTACACAGAGGGTTCCAGCTCCATCTCACCGAGGACAGCTAGCCGGAGGTACAGGAGGCGGATGCTTTTTGCAGAGTGGATGGAACACATTACGTTGAGGAGAAATTCTAGGTCCATTGAAGGACTAAGTAGATGATATTGCAGATATTGCTTACATCCACCCAATTACTGACCTTAACACCACTGGAGTAGCCCAGGCCCTGGAGCCTGTCTGCAAGAGAAGAGCAAGTCATTTGGCAAGGGCCCAACTTAGGAGGTGGCTTTGTAATATGAGCAGTGTGTCCGCTAACAACTAGAGCAAGACCATTAAGTTCATTACACCTGTCACTCTGCCAGCTGACTATCCAAATTGCCTGAGATGAAAGTACATTATGCCCATGGAGTGCCACCCAGCCCCCTCCAGGGGCAGCACACACACTTATCTCAGACAATTTGTTCTCAATGTCCGCACCTGCAGAAAGAAGAACGTCAGCTTGAAACTTGGCTTTGAGAAAACTTAGAGCCTGAGCAGCTAAGAACAAAGTTTAGTTTCACCCTCTCTGGGAGGAAGGTGGCAGGTCCCCTGGTGAGGGGGAGGGGAAGGCGAGAGGGTGAGGAGCAGAGCATGGGGATAGTCCCACCCAGACAAGCGAAGGACACAGAACCCTACATGGATTCTGCTGCCCTGCAGCACAGCCAAAAATAAAAATGAGAGACACACCCTTTTCATTTCCGAACCAAGTCACAGCACTCTAGGCAGCAGGCAGAAGCTTTCCACCCAGCTGCACGTCCCACGGGCTCCCTGGGAGCACAGCCCCCGCCACTAAACAGGCTGCAGAGTGCGTTTGCAGTGCAAGCGTGTTGCAGACAGCGGTAATTTATTTATCCCTGTCATGTAACATTAGCAATCTGTCTGGAGCTTGGCAAGCACCAACTTGCACTGTCATATAAACTGTCTGACAAATTTAAGTTTCGTAAATGCTTCTCTTTTCCAGCAGACAATAAAGCCTCACACACACAAAAAAAAGTTGTCATCTCCTTTTCTGTTCCTTTTTTCTCTCCCTCTTCCAGAAAAAAAAAGGTAGAAAAAGAAAGAAAACCAACAACAAAAGAACCCGTGCAAACAGAAATGATCCCTCAGCAGGATTCTTAACCTTAAAAACCTCAACATTTTTCCAATGCCAAGAAAATGAGTAAATAAATAGACAAGGGAGGGGTGGCAGTGTGGTGGGGCTCAGCAGTGAGGGGAGCACAGAGCAAAATCGGCAAAACAAAAGTACAGTCATTAAAAATTAATAAAGGGTGTGGACATCAGCTCCCCACCCCCTTCTGCTCATGGGGATTTGAGCCAGACACACTGCATCCTCATTAAGTGGTGTCTGGCAGGCTGCCGGAGTTTTAGTGGGTTCTGGGAATGCCAATATATTAACCAGAGGACTCTCTGCATACCCTTTAGAGTTTTTATTCTAGAAAAGTCAACCATTTGGCACAGTGCAGCCTTATTTTTGTACGGGAAAGCTCTCAGCTGCCAATCAAGGACGAAATTATAGCTGTGTTCTTCGTAATTTCCAAGACCTATCTGGAAAACAAGCTGGTGGAAAGAAAAGTCCTCATAAAACAGCTTAAAAGGCCAAAGTGCCATTTTTAGTGGGAATTCAAAGAAAAGCAATCCACACTTATATCACATGGATATGAAACAACACAAACATTTTTCAAGTCTTCCTACCATAGAGGAAAAAAAAGATTATCAATTGGAAATAGGAACCAAATATTTCTACAGCAATTAACAGTAGAGCTACTTCCCCAGTTCTTTTATTTGGCTCACAATGAAGTAAATGATACCACAAAAAGTATCTCCCTAAAAAGCAGCAGGTCTTGTGGCCCAAACTTTCAAATGGTAGGCAGAAGCTTTACATTCCTATTTCAAAACTTAGCATTCACTTTCCATGCACACCCATAATATACGTCAAGGTGTAATTCTAGACTAGTAGATGCCATGTATGCAGAAAGTAACTTTGTCATCAGAAAACAATGGCTTCCAGGAGTTTCCTGAGACCCAAAAGAGGAAAGAAGGAACAGAGGGAGGGGAGAAGGAAGGGAGAAAGGTAGATGAGGACTACAGAGAGACTTTGCCATTGTGCATATTTAGTAGCCATGAGTCTATCCAAAGTATGTACACATTTCTGAAAGTGTCCAAGCTAAAATGGAATGCTTCCTTTTTATAGCTCTTGCTCCTTGAATTTTCTTTCTTTTCTATTAGCTCTTTCCCAAAAGGACAGACCTATCATAGACACTCGGAACGCCTAGATTCGAAAGTAAGATGAGAAGCAGCAAGAGCTGGCCGGCTGGGCATAGCTGCCAGTGTCTCCACGCTGCTTGGGTTTACACAGTTACACAGAGCAATCACCTTCTTCACAGACCATGAGAGGGTGGGGGGCACAGTCTCTGGGCCAGTGCAGAGAGATCCAGGGGTATCTACTTGACAACAGGCCAAAAATTGCCCACAGGCAGCAAAACTCACCCTCCTTCCTCTGTGCCCTGGCAGGCTGGTAGTTCCCTTCAGCAACCCAGATAAAATACAGACAGTGCCCTACGGGCTGCTCCCCGGGGTGCTACATCAAGACTGCAGCCACATGGATGGCGCTGGAAGGGATCATGCTCAGCGAAATAAGCCAGAAAGAAAAAGAAAAATACCGGATGGTCTCACTCATAGCAGGAATCTAGAAAACTTAAATAAGGGACCAGGAAACTGAATAACTATAAGAAAGTGAAAATCAAAATCAACAAAAAACTATGAACCAGAGACACTTTTTGAGGGGTGGGGGGCGGGAGGGGAGGGATTGGGGTCAGAATGGGGGGGTTGCAATTGTATGGGGAATATAAAAATAAAATTTATTATTAAAAAAAAAAAAAGACTGCAGCCCATCCAAACTGTAAACACCTCTGCAACCTGTCCCTGCGCTCAGTGCCCAGGCAAGGAAACTATTCTTAGAACACTTTCAGCAATTTGGGGAAATAAATATTTGTCTATGTATGTATATACTTTGGCAGGGAGTTGGGGGGAGTGTTGAATCTTAAACTATGTACCAACAAATTGGAACAAAATTTCTTAGTAAGTGAAAGCACTGAATGGGTTCTTTAGGATCA